ATTACTCACGTTCATGTTATTTTCTGTTTTCATTGAATTTGAATAAATACTACCTATTTTATTATCTCCTATTACACATGACGAAATTGAGTGAGTAAACTTTCTCGAGTTTGAAGGATGAGTTCCTTTTTGCGTAAAACGTCGAGAAGGTGCACATGCACATGCGTGTTGGTTTATTCGAAAGTGTTTCTTAAAATATTACTGATTGAGGTATAATTAGCTGGCATTTAAAATATAAAAAAAGCGAGTTAGAGGCAAAAAATATACATTTTTGTGTGCTCAAATTGCATGACAATTATGACCGTCTGAACGGCTGACGACACCATAGAGAAGTCTTTATAGGTTAGAACTAGAATTGTATGTGAACAACAACAATGTGAATAACGCTTTTTTATGAGGGATGCAACAAAAAATGAAACAACAATAGGGGTAACAAACAACAACAGTGGTCAACAATAAACAGTCAGGTAGTGCAATAAATTCAGGTCATTTGGGCGATATGTCAAACGTTACTCTGCTTTTTTATCACCTAAGCGTTTCTTTTTCTTGATTCGTTTTCGTTTTCTCTCAATCAATTTCTTCACTTGTTTCGCATCCGGGTCCAAGATTGGTCGACTGGTGTCGAATATCTCTCCGACTGGATCTGGTAGTTGAACGGCTTTGATAGCTTCCAGTCGTTCCTTTCGACCCTGTCAATCGGATCAGAACCGTTCAATGAAATCCCATTCCAAGAAGTTCATTCATTGCGATAATTAATAAAAGCAAAAACTAAAATCAAATCAGTCGTTCTCTGCCGTCGGACACTTTCAAAAAACAATAAATCAGAGAGTGCTTTATTTCAGAAGCTTCCAAATCAAATTACCTGCTCAACGATTTTCCTCTGAACGTATTTATCAGCACCCGTTTTTTTCAGCTGTCTTCGTACAATATTCGGACTGACGTAATCTGGGTTATCGTATAAGACCGCACCTTCGAATGAACCCTCAAATATGCGTATCAACTCGAGTACCATTCGAGGTCCTGAAACATTATTTCGATTGAAATACAAATCTGACTTCACATATCTTAATGGGATGGGAAATCGTCCGTTTAATTTATATTAATTAAATATCTTGCAGCAATGCACTCACAAAGAATAAAATAATAAAAGGGGTATGTGTCTTGATCTTGAAACGGCTTAAGAGTGAGATATATATTAATTGGCTGAGTAAATAAATCAACAAATAAATGAATAGAATTTGAATTATGTATCAAACATTCAAATGAGCTGTTGACGGATATAACTGATTACTCAGTGCTGAACGAATGGAAATTGATTCATAACACAAGTCAACGAACCAATTTCTTGAAGCTGCAACGATTCATCAACAATTTGAAAATTGCGAAACCAGATTTTATGGTCTGGAGTGAGTGAGAATGAAAAGACGTGGTCAATGAATGGCTGACTTCGGGGATGATGGTCTGGTGTGGCGAACGTCTGAAATATTAACTTAGTGATCTATTCCCATTTCAGAAAATTCATTCCGTCGAGAGGTTTAATTGAAAGAAAGACAAGTCAGTATCCGTATTCGACAAAGAGAACGACCACAAAGAAAACTAAAAGCAAAATTCAAGAACGCTTCTCTGAAATATATCATTGGCAGAGCACAGCAGTTGATATAGGTTAGAATAGAATCGTAACTAATTATGGATATTTACTGAATCAATTATGATCAGCTACACTGATCAGTAAATGTCAATTATTCACTTCTGTCTACATGATCCAGAAGCAAACACCAAAAAGTTTCATGACGGAAGCGACTTGGGAAAAGTTTAATCGTAAGTATTTCTTAATGATTGAAATGAGTGTATCGAAAAAGTTGAAAGCATTCGTTGTTGAAGGAAACGAGCACAGCTCACCTGCTTGATAAGGTTTTTAATAAGAGTCAAATAAGGTTGAGTATCAAAGATGGCATCGAATGATAGAACTGGTCGTGACGCTTTCAGGCAATTACCGGACATGCGCAATTCATCCATTGTGTGCACATTATGCACCAAAAATTTCATTGACGGCCCATCGACTACATTTGACATCCATAAATACAAATCCTTAAATACACATTCATATTTTTACCGAGCATTTACCACATTTTAATCTCCAACACTACTGAATTATTGGGTGTGTTTTATGCGATGGTGATAATGAAATAGTAACCTTTTGTTTACGATTTTCGAAGTAAAGACATTTAGTGCAATTGGCCATCTCAGCGATTTCGTTGATCATCGGCAAATTCGTCTGTTTGTCCAATTTCGATTCACCTCTCGAATGCGGCATCAACGATTTCAAATCATTCATCAGATGACGAACACGAAATGATGCACCGCGCGAACAAAACACTAATACACGTTCACGATTCGTCCATTTTCTCTCAACCTTAAACATCCCTCAATCTGTCACTGGAAATTCGTTCATTTTACACCGTAAACGTCGAGTTTTATGAAACTGCATGTCGACACAGTCGGCATTTTCTGTGAACACTCTTGTTACCTTCTCAACATATACCTTTCACTATGTCGAATTACATCGAACTGATCTTAAAGTGTTTCTTATTCAATATACTATTTCTTTTTATATCGTATATCTTCTTACCTATAAAGAATTTGATATTTACCACACTGAAAATTTTCTAAAAAAAAA